AGAGGTCAGATGGGCTTCAGGGTTGGCATTTGCATTATGCATGGATGTAGCGTGGCCAGGTTTGTTGCGTTCATGTTGATGTTCCATGTTGCAGGCAGGTCCTTGGAGTAGCATGTGCCAATCCCCTAGCATCCCCTCTCTATCTGACCTGGTAGTGCTCAACTTGAACTTCCGAATTGAAGCAGGGCTATAGTAATTTCAAGCTTGAAGATACCCAACACTCCCATATGAGCTATAGTCTAAACTCCTTAAAGGGGGTTATGCAGGGGATTATCGGGGAGTATTATAGGGCATATTAAGGGGGAGACTAGGAGTTTAGACTAAAGCTCATACGGTAAACATGTGAATGCACCAACTCCAATTTGAATTTCTTAGGCTTATCTAGGTGCCACATGACCCAGCCATTAATCCAAAACCCTAAACCCTAAACCCTACGTGGTCAGGAAGGAGATGCGCCCGTCCTCGTGAAATCCGAACAGCCGCTTCTGGCAAAGTCCGGCTGCAAGGCTGTGGCGATTGAGGTTGTGGGTATAGTCCACCTTTAGTACGTAGATAGAATATGGCTTTGAGTATAATACAGTAAGATCCCCATCTACCCCATATCCTACATAATGGCAAAGAACGTAAAACTTCCCTGCTATCTAGGGTTTAGGGAGTGGAGAAGAGATGATGGAAGCTGCTATGTTGCTGGGGCAATCTAGGGGCTTCGGAAAGGACCACGTAGAAGGTTTATGCAACATGATATAGAAGAGCATAACATAATGCGATAAGATATTATATGAAATGATTTACGTACATAATACAAACATATGGGCGTGAGAATGAGGGGCCCAGTTAAGGGTCCCTCCAAAACTTAAGCTGCAGTTACATTAGTAGTATTTTATTTGGGGATACTATGGTACCCAATATAGAGTAAGATTATATCCTCCTTTTGGGTATAGTATTTTATATACGGAATATTATCTTACCAGGTTCAACCACCAAAAAAAACACTACTCACATGGAGCTACAGGTAGACCTCACCCGCCTGGGATCCTCCCTGTCAGCCCCCGCATTCACCCCCAGAATCGCCTTTCTGTAGGATTCACAAGGTATAGTCCCCCTTACGTAGATAGAATCTGGCTTTGGGTATATTACGAAGAGATCCCCATATACCCCATATTCTATCTACTTAAGGGGGAACTATTATACCCATTAGTTCAAGAATCTGCCGTTCAGGGTTGGAGAGGTAGACGCAGAGCGGGCTCATGACATTGGCTTCGAGCGGTTATATTGTGCGGGAGTGATGGAACAAGGTATTGCGCTCCGCCGAGCGTCTTCCCAAGAGATCTTAGGTGCAGGGGCTTCTTTCTGATACCGGACTTTCCCACTAGATTACAGCTCCTGCTCTATGTGGCGACTCGTGGAGCCGTATACTCCGTGCTATCGACAGCAGCATCGTCATCAGCATCACCGCCGTCATCATCAACTTCATAACATCTGCGTGTAGCCAGAAGTCTCTCTGTCCATGACCTACATCTGGAGAGAGGGCTTTCTTCATCCACGTACGGAGACCAGCCACTTTCACTTTTCGTGCCCGTGCCTCCTTGTCAGGAAACTCAAAAAATCCTGAACTCGATCACCCAGGGAGAGGACAGCATGTTTGCTGCAAGGGCTCTGTTCAAAAAGGGTCCCTGAAGTAGTTGCAGCCTGAGTAGTTAGCAAAGTGCATACCTCCGATTTGTGTGCTACTCGTCTCTGGCGTTGCGCAACGTTTCTCCAGAGTATGAGTGATTCTCAGAACTCCTGTTTGGTTGCTTGGATTTACTCAAATGCTGTCACTCAGGCCAATCAGAAGGATTTAGATTGCAGACCTACTAATGGTTAGCAGGGAATGAGGGAATGGGAGCACGGCAGCCAATTTTTGGTGTAGGGTTTGCAGTGGTTAGCAACGAATGCAGAAATGGAAGATCGAAACTCTCATCGCAGACTATACAGCCTTTTTTTATGCCCTACCAACCACAATTACACTACTTTTGAAGAAGAGTACCTGTGCCTTGGACTCTTGAAGGGAGAATTCTCAAACGATGTGTCCGGAGGCAGCTGTACAAATTCGAATGCGGTCTTGAGGGTGTTCATGCAGTGAAGTACCCTGACATGGTTACTTTAACACCGCACGTTGAGGCTCGAAGCTCAACCTACTCAGCCCGTCTCCTCCCCCCGGAACACAGGATGGACCCACAAGCAGATCTCGGGGTTGTCTCTTACAGTCCTGGTAGCTTCAGTTGTGCCGAATCCTGTCCTGCAAACGATGTACCAACAACTTTGAGAAGCCCATTTTGGGTGATCATGGATTGCGACTCAGATCTGATTCTAGGCTACTTTTCGGGGTCTGAAAGTTTTGAAAACTCTCCACTAAACCCTAAACCCTAAACCCTGAACCCTGAACCCTAAACCCTAAACCCTGAACCCTAAACCCTAAACCCACCAAAGCAGCCAGGACTTTGAGATCAACAAGTGGCGATGCATGTCTAGGCCAGATCAGGCACCTTGATTGCCTGCATCATCTGAGTAGTAACAGGGTTTAGGGTTTAGGGTTTAAGGTTTAGGGTTTAGGGTTTAGGGTTTAGGGTGAAGTATTTTATTTGGGGATACTATGGTACCTAATAATGGAGAATCAAATGGAAAAGAAAATGGAAAATGAAATGGAAACTGAAGTTATATAGGGTTTATATTGGGGATATAGTATTTAATTTGGGGATACTATGGTACCCAATATGGAATACTCCTTTTGGGTCTAGTATTTCATATAAGGAATATTCTCTTACGAGGTTCAACTACCAAAAAGAACGCTATACATCTGGACCGCTGCGAAGGAACTTAACTGGTTGCCACCATGTGGGCTCTAGTCTAAACTCCTAGCATCTCCCTTAATAATACAAATAATACTCCCCTATAGAAGCCCCTGTACAACCCCCTTTAAGGAGTTTAGATTATGTTATAGATCATGTGTATATATAGTAGGGTAGGGAACGTGGTTCCTTGCTCTGATCATTGAGTTTAAGTTCCTTAAATGCAGCCCAGTAATGTGGACGAGGACTCATGCAGGTTCCAAGTTTATATCATATCCCAGCGCTGAAATGCTTTTCCTGTTTCAAAGTTTGCAGAGCTCAGAGGAATGGCAGCTGTAGCGAAGGACTTGCCGAAGTGAACTTAATAGCCTGCTAGAGACCCAAGGGCCGATTCCTGAAAACCAGGGCCCCCTGATTTTGAAACAAAGACTCCACCCAGGACGGGCCTCACCAGAAGAATGGTCTATGCAGGCATTAAAGAGGTTAAGTAGGCCCAACCCAAACATGTCAGAGCCAGGCTTTAGGGTGCGGATAAGCTATCTAAATAGGTTCATGGGTCATGGGTCCAATGTTCATGAAGGCAGTAGTACGGCCAATTTGAAAAAGCAGTGTGACAACAAAAGCGCCAGTAAGAATAGTCATTGACGTACAGAAACAAGAGTGAACAGAGAAGGAACCTGCGGGAAGGCTCGCAGGCTTCTGGAATAAAAGTGCCCTGCGTGTCTTTCCATATAAGTACCTATGCAATTCCTATATAACCCCAAGGAATCCTTTCATGTAGTAGTGTCCATTTCGTTTGTCCATTTTCTTGCCCGTGTGATTCCCCATTATTAAGCCGAGTTTACCTCTTCTGTGCCCATTGTGATATCATGACGAGGCAAGTAGATCCTAAATAGTAGTTTCCATTTTCTTTTCCATATCCCTAGTACAACCCCTATGTTATACCCCTATATTATAAGCCCTGGACAAGCCTTCCATTTTCTCATATGATAGTGTTTCACTACAGTACTTTTTTTTGACAGGGGTGTCTCATTGAAAGAGGCCACGGAGTGCCACTTAGGTCGAGGCCCCACCTGAGGCGAGGAAAAGTTTTTGCGAAACCCTAAACCTTGACGTAAACCCCAAACCCTTTGGGGAAATATAGGGGTTATAGGGGTTATATTGGGAGAATGGAAAAGAAAATGGAAACTACTATAGTATATTGGGGTTATGTTGGGGTTATATTGGGGTTATCTACCACACGCCCGAGCCCACAGCTGAGGCATACTACACCCTGAGTGGCTTTGCGAAGCTTGACATTGACGCCCGGGAAGCAAAGAGCGAAGTAACACGGTTTAGGGTTTTGGTCTAATTAGGGTTTTTGTAGCGTTTAGGGTTCTGGACGACTGAGCACGTTCGGTCGTTTGAGTGGTTCAGGAGAGGCAAGGGTCGGATTTGTGCTAGTTGAGTTTGGCAGCCTGATTTTCCCATAGCGTGATTGCAGCATTGATTGTAGATCACACGTTCGATAACATGTTGCAGAAGCAGTAGCACTGACACGGTAAGCGCAAGCACGTATAACTGACAGTAATTAAGACGAAGGACAAAATCACAGATGATCACACCATGCCCTTCCTCTGGAAGACACAGCAAAAACAAACTGCAACCATGTTGCCAAATAGCATGACCAAAAAGGACATCATCGAAGCCAGAAAGTTGATTCCGTCGATCACAAGCAGCTTTGAGAAATATGTGGGCTGCACGGCAGCAAATTCGGGGCACAGGGTTCCAGGGTTTAGGGTGTTGGGGCCTCTGCAAAACTACTTGAACGGACGCTTGGCTTGCCAACTTCACATACTGAAGTCCGAATTACAAGAGGTGTCAAGCCCATCTGAGTGGATGCTCTCGCGACCTGTTCCGAGATAGAGTCTTGTACCGCTCAGAATGTCGAAGCCTAAGCCATTCAGGCGTCTCAAGCTATGCGAAGCCTTCTCCCCGCATGTTCATAATCTGTTCTCCTTTCTTCCTTGGGAGCTGAAAGAAGTTTGAAGCCTTTGTGTGAGTATGTGGCGGCACTAGGGTTGGTCTTATTTTGATTGCTCAAGATACCTGTAGGTGCGTCGCAGTATCTGGACTGTTGACTACAACTCGTGTACACAATGACTCAATAGAGGCGCTAAACTTGACGTGATGCCCACTCACATCACAGATCACACGCCAGTCTCCAAAGGCCATGTGCAAGCGCTACTGTCAAAGTTTGGCGGTGTAAGAGCCAGCATGCTCAGGTGATGAACCTGACGGTTTCGTGAAGGTTTACGTGGATGATACCTTCAAGTACTCCACGCATACCATCAACAATAATAGGAGCCCTCAGTGGAGCGATCCGCAGACCTTCGACATCGTGGCCGACCTTACCATGATTCGTGTCCACGTCTTTGATTCGGATGGCGACCAGGAATCCGAGTTGGAGGATCCCATCGGCTTCGTTGAGTTCTGCATTGCAGACATACCTTTTGACGAGGCGGCGGAGCTTCAAGCAGTTGATGTTACGACTACTCCCTTCGCCTAGCATGTAACGGCGTCCCCTAATTGACATACTGGCTGTTGCCAGAAAGGCAGGTGAAATCATCTGACGTGATGTCAGGCTTTGTGATATTTTTGGGCATCCAATCCAGTACACATAGTGCAAGATTTATTCAGGATTGCTGCGCCCCAGTGCCAAAAGCTGTCCCATTTGCCTGCTGCAGGAAATTGACGGATGGTTTGAGCTGCGGTTTCCGAACAATCTTCAGGGTGTCAACACAGATCGCTATGCAGAGCATATGTATATGCGTGAGGAGGAGAGCCTCGGATACCAAGATCATTTGAGCCATTGTTTACACTCCTCAAAGGGCGTTATATAGGGAATTACGTAGGGGACCACTACAGGGGTTATCAAGGGGGATGCTAGGAGTTTAGACTATAGCTCATTTGGCCGGTCAGCAGGCAAGCTGTTTTGTTTTTCTTCGCTCCCTGTGGGTGACTGCGGCAATCCTGATGCGGCCTACCAGCGGTCAACTGGGCCCGGCTAAAATTTATTGTGGGCTTTCAAAGTTGGCGGTTGTAGCGGCTTCAGGATTGCTAGACTGCATGCATCTGCAACTGCAAGAGAAGGGATCCAAGCCAGTAACCACTCATCCTTCCCTGCAACCTCTTTTTGACCCGCATTTTGTTTTGAGAGCCCAGTCAAGTGAAGCCATCGTTTCAGCCTCCGTCTGATAACCACTCATACTAGGGTGAAGGGAATGAGGAAGCAAATGCTATAAGTCTTGCTTGTAATAATTTGCGACAAGTCCAAGGACTTGTCCCCATGATGCAGTTTCACACTCCATGGCGTACTAGCCAGAATGAGGCAAACGACCCTGCAAAGGTGAGAGTACTACAGTGGGCAGTAGTCCTGCAGTTGTTACAGTGCTCCTGGCAGCATTGAAGCCGTCGGATGCCGTCGGCATAGTTCACAATCAAAATACAACAGCTGCAAGGTAGAACCACTGGCAAGGATAGCGCTGTGATATCTGGGAGTTTCTCAAAACTATGGGCCCCCTTTGGTTATAGGCTATATTACGGCACCTAATATTTAGGGGTACCAAAATGGGACCCTAATTTTGGGAACTACCCATCTAATAAAAGGAGCCATGTTTCCAAGCCCTGCGTGTGCCAGCATTGCAAGGAAGAATCAAGCTCGGCCAACGACTGCCCCGCAGAAGGGAGCTGAAAAGGACATGGGTTGTTGTCAAAATTATGGTCCCTTTTTGGATCCCTAGTATAATACGGCACCTATAATATTTAGGGTACCCAAAAAGGGGCCATAATTTTGACATCCCCCCACATACGGTCATCATGATTCATCATGATGACTCAAAACGCCTTGCATGCAGGGTTCCCGGACGGGGTTTTGTGGAATTCCTTAGCAGCTTGTTGTGTAGTGTTGCGCAAGTACTGCCACACACATCACGCACCCTGTGCCACAGGTGTTTCTGCTTAAAACGTCACCACCATTGGTGGCACATGGTCGATACATGTTGTCGGTTTTTCCAGCTATCTATATAATCGTTCCGGTGGATGGCTACAGACGCGGCGGTTTACTATCATTCTTACTCTCACCATTACTGTGATTTCTATAGTTACTATGATTATTTCTGTTCTTGTTGTCATTATTACTAGTACTAGTATTAGTAACCTTTAGCCAGGAGGATCCGAATGTGGATGAGCTGGGTGATGAGCCTTCGCAGGCATTAGCACAACCACACTCGACGTTTCTGGCATTAGGGCTACAATTGCCGTCAATCATCGGATTATTGCTGAGAGAAATGCACATTCAAGAAAGTCGCCTTCATGAGCCTAAACCCTAACCCCTAAACCCTGGTCTGAAAGTTCATGTGAATGCTGCTGTCATCGCTCATTTCGATTTTCCTAGTAGCTCATGGAAAGGGGTTTTCTGTCTTGCTATCAAGGACTTGGCATCTGTGATTTGGCATCTGTGCTGGGCGTATTCGGCTTATGTTGTCGTAATCTATCCATGTTGTGGGGCTGGCTTGTTGAAAGGCCGTTTGCAGTTGCGAGTACAACTATAGCCCCCCTTAAGTAGATAGAGTATGGGGTATATGGGGATTGTATTATAATATGCCCGAAACCATATTCTATCTACTTAAGGGGGACTATACTCCCCTAGGTTCCATTTCATTATCCATTTTCTTTTCCATTTGATTCTCCACTACAGGAGGAGAATAGGGGATTATAACCCATATTCTATCTACATAAGGGGGACTATACCCTAAACCCTAAATAGTAGTTTCCATTTTCTTTTCCATTATCCCAATATAAAGCCATATTCTAGCTACTTAAGATACCCTAAATCCTAAACCCTAAACCCCTAAACCCTAAACCCCTAAGCCGGTCTTAGGACATCTACTACCAGAGCAAGGCCAAGGTTCAGAGCGGGGTCATGGGACGTGCGCTGAAGCGGCTGAACTTCATGGTGGCTGGCCTGATATTAGTTTAGGTTTTAGGGGTTTAGGGTTTATAGCTACTGGGTTTAGGGTTTAGACATTAGTTTAGGTTTTAGGGGTTTAGGGTTTAGGGATATAACCAATTGCTTTCTCGGTGATGCCTGACACTTGGCATCAGCACTACGTGCGTTTCGGCGTGGCCCCCAGCAGTTCGGAGAGAGTCCTGGGTTGGACAAAAAGGGTTTATAACTACTGGGTTTAGGGTTTAGGGGACGACCCAGGGGGCCCAATACCCCTTCATTAAGGAATGTAGCTTAAATCATATCAGGGACCCTGGTACCTCTTAGGCTATATTCTTTAATTAAGGCGTATTGGGCTCTCTGGGTACTGTTTAGGAGGTCTTGAAAAATGGCTCAACCTTATGGTTTCCTCTATAAAGGACAATGGTTATATAGGGGATAATGGAAAAGAAAAATAGAAACTATTATCTATATATATATACATACATATATATAGGGTTTAGGGATAATGGAAAAGAAAATGGAAGCTACTATGACAGGGTAGATTGGTTACATTTCTAGAAAGATGCCATGGCCAGAGCATGCCCGAGCACCAGAAGTTGCATCATTCTTCGGATTGCTGGCGGCTAGTGCTGCTCTTCCCTTGACAGCTCTTAGTTAGTACTGTGGATCATGCGCACCAGTAAGAGGGCAGGACCTTCCGAGTCTGTGGGTCGATGAAAGCCTGGGGTTTAGACGGAAAACGGGCAGTTGGGGTCACAGCAGTCTTCAGATGCAGGCCATGTGAGCTATGGTCTAAACGCCTGTACCCTTCCTTAATATACCCCTGAATGCTCCCTATATCATCCCCTGCTTAACTTATACCCCCTTTAAGGAGTTTAGACTATAGCTTATGTGCAGCGTGAGAAGCGTGGGTGATAGTGGACGGCAACGAAACGAAAATGGTAACTTCTATATAATCAGATATATTATATATATATACATTGGGATTGTACGGGGACTATGGGGATGTATATAATATAGCAGCATTATTTGCAAACCCTGCGACAACCTCAAGAGGGGACTGGCACCAACCTGGCTACAGACCAAAATGATGCAAGATTCAGAAGCGGCTCTGAATTATAGGAATCTCAAGAAGGTATAGTCTCCCTTAAGTAGATAGAATATGGCTTTGGGTACATTTTTTCAGATCCCCATATACCCCATATTCTATCTACTTAAGGGGGACTATATCTTTGCTGCAAGGAACGACAAGCTACCGTATGAGTCGCGGTCATAATTCTTGTTGACCTTGTGCAGTCTCGATGGTAGTTGTTGCGCCAGAATCCCAGACATTGATACCGGAGGTCCTAAAGTGATAGATTGAATGCATCTAGACTTTGGTTGTGAGAGTATCCGAGGAAGAGCCCAAAACATGGAGACTGATGGGGAACGCCCTCATTTAAAAACAATAGAGGCCAAACCGAGGAAATCTGACGCCACTTCGCATGACGCATCAAGTGATTGCGTAGGGCTACGGGGCGGTTGCCTGTAAAGCTAAGAGAAGTAAGCGGCCACTACGTATGGGGAACTTTGACAGTATCCGGGGATGACGTGAGAACATCTTAGCCAGGTCACGCTCTTCATGGCTTGACATGCGGCTTTGTAGCTCCAAAGACCCCAACGCCTTCTCAAAGTACAGAGGTCTATGAGCCATAGTCTAAACTCCATAAAGGGGGTTATATAGGGAATTATATAGGGGACTACTATACGGGATATTAAGGGGGATACTAGGAGTTTTAGACTACAGCTCATATGCGCACGGTACTTTCGCGTTTTTTTGAGAAATGCAGACATTTTGCCAGTCTGGTACCGGGAACAACGCCAACCCCAACAGCGATGAGCAGTACAACGCCGGTGAGAGCTTTGGTTAAATTTGCATGTCGAGCTTTTGGTTTGGGACACATGGGTTTTGTCAGCATCCTCCAGAGAAAACTGATCTACAGATCCTTCTCTGGCAGAGTGCTTTTAAACATTCATGGCATTCGCACACGTGTTTTGGTTTCCAGAACAGTTATATTGCGGACACCCGGCATGATCATCTGAACTCGTCCTCCCTAAGTAGAGCAGGACAAAGCTCTTGTGGACTAATTGTGCGTGCTGTCAGCCATCCCTATGACTCCATTGGCTGCTTGTTATTAGGAATGGATCCCTATTCTAGTAGCCCCTATAGATCTTATAGAATCCCTAACAAAACGGTAGCTTCTATTTTATCTTCTATTCTGTCATTCCCTGCTAACAACCAGCAAGTCAATAGGCCATTGTGGGGTCTGTATCAGCAAGTGGGGGCTGAAGCCTTCGAGGTAAATTGGTCTTGGGATACTATGACTATGGCTTAGCCCTGCGGCCCCTGTCTACTCCCCATTCGTCTTCTTTGGATAGGCTTGTTTCGGGATTGCGAACGCGAATTAAGCCTCATCAGGGGCAACCCCAGAAGGGCTGGCTTGATGGGTGGTTCAGGGACCAATGAAATTCTCTTTTTCATCTTGACGTAGATCACTGCAGATCCCCCCTTAGCTTAAGCAACTGAGCCTCAAAGAGCATGACTGAAAGCATTGGGCTTCTTTGCGGTCTTTGCAGTGAGGTGGACAGGGGGGTGGCCCAAACCCCCAAGGCCTGCAACTACCCTATAGCAGGATTGCTGGATGAACAGAACCCAGTTTCCACCCAATTTTACATGTCCTTTTCCATTTGGGGTTCTTCAATATTAGGGCAATGTATCGCTACACCCCTATAGTCCCCCTTAAGTAGATAGAATATGGCTCTGGGTACATTATAATAAGATCCCCCTATACCCCATATTCTATCTACTTAAGGGGGATTATAGACTCAGAGCGGCTCTAGGATTCACTTGAAACTGCGGCTCCGACGGGTGGTCAGCGACAACACGGCGCTGTTCGCAAAAGCATTGGTGCCATCCTATATGACCTATGCTGCCTGGCAGTATCACAGGGACTCCCACAATCCTGTTGAAGCCTAGATTTACTAACCCTGTTTTAGTAAATCCTCACCCACGACTTGAGGGCTTTAAGGATCACATTGTCATGAGTAGGATTTCTTCGCTTGCGAGGTATCTACGGACTGGTTCGCATGGGGGATCATGTTGGACGATGACCAGGCTAAGTCTTAACATGGGCTCCGCCTGCCATCCAGCAGAATTGACAAAGTGATCCTCCATATGAGCTATAGTCTAAACTCCTTAAAGGGGGGTTATATAGTGGATTATAAAGGGGAATACTATAGGGCTTATTAAGGGGGATACTAGGAGTTCAGACAACGGCTCATATGAAGAAACCTCCGCAAATGGGACCCGTTAGCTTGAGACCCACTAGCACAGAAGATGGAGTGGTTTGGCATAATTGAGTAGTATTTTATTGGGGGATACTATGGTACCCAATATAGCGTAAGATTATATCCTGCTTTTGGGGTAGAGTATTTTATATGAGGAATATTCTCTTACTAGGTTCAACCACCAAGAAAAACCCTACTCAATTGAAAGCTTCTGGATCAGACCATCTGGACCCTTTTCGCCATGCCTCCAGAAATTGGAGCTCGCCAATGTGGCAACCCTAAACTCTAAACTCTAAACCCCTTGCAGTTTTCATTTTCTGTTACATTATCCCAGTATATTCCATTATTTATCCCATTATATCCCATTGGTTATCCCATTATATCCCATAAATTACCCCAGTATATCCCATTCGTTATCCAATTATCTCCCATTGATATCAAAATCTGCCAAGGCTGCATTCATCCAGGAGGAGTTCTTGCCCAAGCTGGATTTGCAGGACCTGGCCACTGCTTACCTGGGAGAATATGGGGTACGGTTAGGGTTGAGGGTTTAGAGGGGTAATATAGGGCTACATAAGGATAATGGAGAAGAAAGTGGAAACTACTATAGTATTATAGTGTCATGAAGGAATCATGGGAAAGAGAATGGAAAACTTCTATAGTGTATTGGAGTTATACTAGTTATACCGGGATAATGGAAAAGAACATGGAAACTAGTGTGGTATGTTGGGGTTACATAGGGATAACGGAAAAGAAAATGGAAACTACTATAGTATATTGGGGGTACATAGGGATAATGGAACAGAAAATGGAAACAACTAAAGTAAATTGGGGTTGTATAGGGATAATGGAAAAGAAAATGGCAACTACTATTTAGGGTTTAGCCCCAAATTGCTAGCAGGGAAGCCCGGTGCCGCATGCCATCCGTTGTCATCCTCTGGGCGATGATGGCCGTTTGGGGTTTAGGGTGTAGAGTCCGCCAGATTGAGATTGAAACATCATCAAGATCTGGTGCCTTCTTTTGGCAGGAGTTACTGGATGACTCGATGGACATCAAAATCAAGATCATTGATGACATGCTTTTTGCTGTCTATGCCTTCCTCAGCTGCTCGCTTTTGCCAAGCTTTGTAGTTCTCTGCAGTCATATGTCACGTCGGAAATCGTTGCTGGGCATTCATGCAGGGGGCGGACTTTGTTGTTGCCTGTAACCCCCACCCAGACATCAACCCGCCTGATTGACGAGACCTTTGGAAAGGCTACGTTTTGGCGTGGCGGTCGTGGCTCCTCTCCGGACTGCTTTTTATCTCCGTTGTGCCATTTTGCTGCAAGATCAGAAATTTGCTTTGCAAATTTCCGGGCCATGTTTGCTGATGACTGAGCGTTCTGGTGAGGTCTGGGGCCAAATCGTCGATGTTGGCCTACGGCTTTTTCCACATGTGGCTGGCGCTAGTGATGGTCCTGCCCCATGGCTGCAGCAAGATGCAACTTCTAGGATTCAGGAGTTCTGCAAAGTGCAGAATCCCAGCTCCTCCTGATATGGACTATTGCGCCAGTGTGTGAGTGACAAATTGGACTAATTAAGCCTCATGGTCTGCCCAAATGGCTGGATGTTGCTTTTAAGTGCTTAGATGACATTTCCCCAAAGCTCCTTGTGCCCTTGTGTGTCCTTTCCTTTTTCCACGGCTAGGTTGATCTGATACACGTCAAACGTGGAGAAACATGCGGCCGGCTGTCAAAATCATGTTTTGGGGAAGCCTAGCATAGTACTGCACTTAAATGTCTTAGGTCTTGCCTTCAAACGCTTAGAGTCTACGTTGGGACGCTGAGGCTGAAATCTGAGACTTGGCGAAATGACATGACAACAAATGGCATGAACGCCCCTCTCAACCAGGACTGAAGGGTAGGCTTGGATTTAGGGTTTAGGGTTTAGGGATTGGCAGTTTGCAGATGTTGGGAGCAAATCCTTGCACAGGACCCCCAACAAAGAGTTTGAGAAGAAGCCCAAGAGATGGGAGTTGGTCAAAATCTGTAATGGGGACCTCAATAATACCTTGGCTATGCTGGAATTCCCCAAGATCGCCCATTCTGAGGACCTCTCTATCCCCACCCGACGTAACATTAGTACAGCAGGCAAGGGCTCTTCGCGATATCATTTCGGGACAGACATATGACTTTGCGCGGTAGCTGCGGTAGCCGTCTACGCCTACGCTCTATGCTCAACGAATTAATTATAACGTGTTGTCACCCACAAATGTCCTTCTTTGGGTGGCCTTTGGAGAGAAGGTCTCAACATGACGGCAGCTCGTAAGGCTTAATATAACCCTAATATAACCCCAATATTACCCTAATATAACCCTAATATAACCCCAATATTAGACGAATATTTTAGAGGACGGCCTGGAGCAAGTCGCACGGTTCAATTCCACCGACGAGATGCATGTCTACTTGATCCGTGCCATGGCTGCAGAATAGTATTATTATTACTATTATTATTATTATTACCAATACTATTACTATTACTCTTACTATTACTATTACTATGACCATTACTATTACTATTGCTATTATTATTACTATTACTATTATTAATACTATTACCATTATTACTATTATTATGAGGGGGTCAGGGCTCCTCCTTGGCACCGGGGATCATAGATAATGGGCATCACTACGCAGTCCTTGTGCAATATCTGTTTTGCATCAGTCTTGCATGGGGAATTGGATCTTCAGATCCGTGTCAGATGGCCTGGAAGGCCGATGGATCAAAGACCCCTTCATCAATGGAATTAGAGAATGAAGGGGCTATGTAGGGATTATATGGCGTTTAATGCCGGCTATGTACTTTTGGGATTACATAGGGCTGAGAATAGGAGTTACGCAAAGGCGAAAGTGTGGGCTTAAATACAGCAATCTGTGCGTCCAACTACTATGCTCTTCCAGGACGACTGAGTGAGGGCCTGGCATGGACCATTCAAGTGCTTAGCTGAGCCCTGTTGCCCCAGGAATTTCATTGTAGAAGCACGGATAAGATCAAAAGGCCTGGTACGGGCTATAGAAAGTCCATTCTGGGCTGCAACAAGCTTCTTCCCAAGAGTTTTGATTTAATACCGTCATGCTGTTGATGCTAGCAGCATGAGTGCGCTTCTCTTTCTGTTAGCAAGGACCCTGGCATAAGTTGCAATTTCAGCTAGGAAAATCCAAGAAACTCCCCAACAATTCCCTTTACATCCCTGGAATTCCTAGACAACCCCCTGTTTTAAGAAGCCCCCACCTTAAATGCAAAACTAGAAGCGCTAACCATGTGACATGCATACCTACATTATACATATGATTGCACCCCTCCACACACACCTAGAGCGAGTCAAAGGACCTGAAGCAAGTGGAATCTGTGCCAGGAATGGTCCAGGCCAGTTGCGGGACCATCTCTGGGTGGCAGGACTGTCAAAAATGGGGTCTTGAATTCAGCTTCGAGGTCCAGAGGTTTCTCGATGAAGAGAGGGCTCTTAGAACTCTGAGGATATGGAGGGAAATTTAGAGCAATGCCAAAACTTGAACTTGCAGATGCCAGTGATTTCGCGAAGCAACTGTTGCACGCAATGGTATACGCCGAGGATTCAGTTGCGTCTGCCTTCAAGCTGGTATGAATCTATATAAGGAGACATGGAAGCTACCTCCGCAAACAAGAAGCTGTTGATCCAGTTTGCTACTCTCATGGTGCTTTTGCCTGCCGGTGTCGTTATGACTATCATGATTGTTGCGTTGCCTTTGTTCATTTCTAAATTCTTCTTGTTCCTGCAGATTACACAGCGAGACAAGGGTACCCTAAACCCTACCTAAACCAGACAAGGGTACCCTGAACCCTGACCTGAACTATCGTTATCCCCCTTGTGCCTTCAGGAGTTGGTCCACTTTGCCGGTACCGTGGTGCAAGGAGACGGGGAAGTTGGCGTCACCTACGACGACTTGCTGAGGGTTCCGGAGCTGGGTTTAGTTCTCAATCCAGGGCCTGCTTCTAGAACGCGGTTTAGGTTAGGGATGGTTAGGGTTTAGGGGAAGAGGCGGCACCTGTAGGTCTAAACTCCTTAAAGGGGATTGGTTGTATACGAAGATATAGGGGACTGCTATAGAGGTTGCTATTATTAAGGGAGGTACGAGGAGTTTAGACCATAGCTCATGTGGGCATTATGGGTCTAGGTTGGCACAATTTGATGGTTGGAAGCTCTGATTCTAAGATTTGGAAGGTACTCGTTGCGGTCTCTTCCTGGTTGTGGCTTTCAGCTAGAGGACAGTATAAAGAGTTGCAAAAAGGCAACATATATAGTTTGTGCTGTCGTTGGCGAACATTTGGGGAGGACATAGGCTGACTTTTGCAGGAGTGGAGCCCTGTTACCTCCATGATTTTTATCCGAGAGCTAAGAACCATAGTTTCTGAAACGCTGGCAGATGTTGGAGCCCAAATTCACCCGCAGCGGATGTAGTGTGGAGTGTGGAGCCACATGCTCACACGAATCCGATGAGCACTGCGTCAGGCGTTGAAGGATCTTTGGTTCCTGGACTTTCCCTCAGGACATGATGCTGTTTGAGGATTTGTCAGCATGAGTTGGTCCTTGATGCCGAAGCTGTCTTTCTCCCATTGTTACTACTACTACTACTACTACTACTACTACGACCACCACCACCACCACCACCACCACCACCACCACCACCACCACCACCACCACCACCACCACCACCACCACCACCACCACCACCACCACCACTCCTTCTACTCCTATACTCATCCTGCTCCCCTCCTACTCCTCCACCTCCTCTACGGGGATGATGATGATGATGATGTTGATGATGCTGATGTTGGTGCTGGTGATGATGGTGCTAGTGGTGCTGCTGCTGATGGTGCTGTTCGCGATGGTGATGGCTACAGTGACTACCTGCCGGCTGCCACAGACGCACCTATTGTTTCCATTGACAGTGGCCGTTGCCTTCATTTTCTGATTGACATTGCCATCCTTGACATTGGCATCGTCATTGCTGTGGTCACCATGTTTGATTCATGCTGCTGTTTAGAAGCCGTTTGGTTAATACCAATGCCGCTATTATTCATTCTGCAGATGCAATGAGTGTTGCGTCCTCATGCTAGCTGGCCTTTTAGCTATTGGTTCAGCTTTGCCGCCTACATCGTGAAGCAGAAGCCCTACCCATATTTCTCTGAACCTGTAACCACATTTGCAGGAAATCCTGTCGAGAAGGGTGCTTTGGTTCGTGTGAATGACCGCCGCCGTGGAACAGTCACCAAGATTGAAGGAGACCTGCGCCTTGGCGCTTATGAGTGTCCAGGATTTCTGGTGCAGTTGCTCGAGGTATATCATGAGGTGTTCTGCTCAAGCAGTTTTTCAGGACAGGAACTGAAAACTCTGCAGATTCCAGAAATCCGAACCAGGTCAACCATGCGACTGCAGCACAGAAATTGTAAGCGAAGCCTGCATTTTGAAATGCATCTGGAAGCTGCCCGAAGATAGCCAGCTTGGCGGTGCCTTCTGTCGTAGAACAGCAGGCATGTGCGGGTACTCAGGCACTCACAGGCGCTCTTGAGCACACATCTACTTCTGAAAGGCATGGCATGAGGAAGCTGAAGATATCACAACGTATTGGTTCTTAGAAATATGCACCAGCTTGAAAACAAGTGGGCTCACAGAAGGTTACTCTGAACACCAGCATAAGACTGTGAAAAGCGCTACCCAAACATCTTTGGCTGAGGGTGGATGTGGACTACGACGAGCCTGGCTTTTTGGACCCTTCTCTGCCTCCTGGTGGCGACGGGTGCGGGGTTTGTAGGACTTTCTCAAGTGCTTTGTGGTGTTCCATAGTGCTCTATGGTTTAGAGTACTTTTCATACTTTACAGGTGCTACTCCTTTTTCCATCCGAGCTTTCTCGGACGTTACTACCTATAAGGTCAGGTGCCCAAGCGAAGTGGCTCAGGCATGTGACCTAATGCAGAGGCCTATAGGATTACCAAAATTGTTCCCTCATTCCCATTGTCCTCACATGTCCTCACTTGAGACTTATGCCCCAAATCCTGATGAAACAGCCTCGTAGCATAACACTCCAGGAAACTCAACCCTAAATAGTAGTTTCCATTCTCTTCTCCATTATCCCTAGATAACCCCTATATCGTTCCCCTTCGATAGGCCCAGCATATACCCTACATAGCCCATTATAGTTGTTTCCATGTTCTTGTCCATAAGCCCTGTACAACCCCTTCTTTCATAACCACAATACAAACCCTAAACCCTAACCCTAAACCCTATACCCTAAACCCTAAACCTTAGGGGGTCCGCTATCATGAAGAGTCTAGGAGCGGCAGAGTACACATGAAGAATGTGGCGGTTCGGCCCTATGCCCCAGCGATCCCCCGCATGCTCGTCCCAAAGTCCTTGAACCTTGGCGATGTTTAGGGTTTAGGGCTTAGGGTTTAGGGTTTAGGGTTCAGGGCTGTGCCTTGTAAAGGGCTTAAGAGTTATTATTATTGGGTTTTATGGGGATAATGGAAAAGAACATGGAAACTACAATTATAATAGGGTATATATTGGGGTTATAGTCCCCCTTAAGTAGATAGAATATGGGGTATATGGGGATCTTACTATAGTATACCCCAAAGCCACATTCTATCTACATAAGGGGGACTATCGGGGTTTCGGGTTTAGGGTCTTGCGGGCGGGACCCAGGAGTGAAAGTCACCGACCTTGAGATGCATTTCAATCATGGACTTCTGTTAGGGTTTGGGCTTTAGGGTTTCAGGGTTTAGGGTTAATCATGGACTTCTGTTAGGGTTTGGGCTTTGGGGTTTCAGGGTTTAAAGCTTGGGTGTCCTGCCGCTTGACCCAAAGGCACTGGTTTAGGCAGTGGCAGAGCGCCAGTGTGGAGGCAATGCTGGATTGACCGGAATAGGGCGCCAACGGAAACTCTCTGGAGCTTCCAAAAATGTAGGGGCCCTTTTGAGGAAGTCCTCATGCATTTTCATAGGGACAGGGAGGAGTATAGTATTCTGGGGTCTAGAGCGGCCCTCCGCTATTTAAGAACCCCCCATGTGGAGTATCTCCAGATGATGGCTCTCGGGTACATGAGGCTAGAGGAGGCCTCAACCCATAAGTACCCGGGTGGACATACATACCTTCGCAAAGTTTTTTTTCAAGGGTCACAAGGGTAGTTACATCATGTTTTGCAAAGACCAACTTCGAAAATCCCTCAAGGGGTGCCCGGCGCGAGGACGTTCTCTCGTAGGATCTTAAGTGGCTTATGATACTGCACCCGGAGCATCGAGGAAACAGTCTAGAGGCCACAAACATCTCCAAACATTGGCCGTGATCTTGAGACTTCAGCGTTGATGGAACCCTGCATGACCCTGTAGGCCTTTATGCCTAACCTTGGGCATGATAGTTGTACTCTATACTTAAGGTGGTGCACGATTTTGTCCATCAACCATAAAGAGGCAAGTGATCATGTTCACTTCTTTTTGGGAGCAGGTGTTTACCCAAAATAATGGTTTCCATTTTCTTTTCCACTATCCCTATATAAGCCCTATATTCTCGTAGTTTCCCTTTTCTTTTCCATTATTCCTATAACCCCTAAATGAGGAATCCGCAGCGCCGAGCACCTCCAGCCAACATTATGCCTCAATCTGGTCAGACCTGAAGGTTTCTCAAAACTCAAAACAACCCATGTGAGTAGTACAGTATTTAATTTGGGGATACTATGGTACCCAATACCAGCAAGACCGACTGATTTCCCTGAATGATACTATGGTACCCAATATATATTAGAGTAAGATTGTATCCTCCTTTTGGGTATAGCATTTTATTTGTAAGGAATATTATCTTACTAGGTTCAACCAAAAAAAACACAACCCATGTGAGCTGTACTCTAAACCTCTTATGAAGGGATTGAAAATGGGGGACTATATAGGATTCCTACTATACGGGTTATCAAGCGGGATGCGTGGTTATTGGGGTCTCTAAGATTGCAGGGTTTAGACAAATCCGCATGACCCAACCAGATGCCCAGGCGTGGCTTGGTGACCTCCATACAGTTCCAGGTGGGTTTTGGTTAGGGTTAAGGTTTGAAGTTTAGGGCTTAAATAGGTGATCACAATTGGGGCGTAGGTTTCATAACTTTGAAATAAGGGTGTAATGTCGACTTAGAGGTTGCCAGTGTTGTGGTGCCATATGTTTTGTATATGTCTCGTCTAGACTGCCTCAAATAGACCTCGACATGACGTTGGAGCAAATTTTAAACTCCCCACTGTTGTTACTGGATCATAGTAGGGAATAAGGGAATATATTAGGAGGACCCTCCATCCTGTAATAGTGGTATAGGAATACAATAGGACCTCTGGATGGGGGTCCACCTACTCCCCCCATATTCCCCACTAAGAACCAGGAAGTAATTGGGCGTCCTAGGTCTGCGTGCTGCGGAGTGCGGTCCATAGGTTTTGAATTTGGTTTGTTGTAGTGTTTTACAAAGTTGCACTTTGGACATTCTGGCTTTAACATGAGCTATAGTCTAAACTTCTTCAAGGGGTTGTCTAGGGAATTACATAGGGGAGCCTTACAGGGTTCTTGAGGGGGATACCAGGAGTTTCGATTATAGCTCATCTCAGATTCCAGCGACGTGCCCAAACAAACTGCTCAATGTGACTTGCACCCTATTCCTGACCTGGCGGGGTTTCGGAAAGAGCCCCCCGATGCGGTTCTTCAGATTCCCAACAGTCGAGAGCCCCTAAAGCCTAAACCCCAATTGTAGAGAGCTTAGTGGGCTCAGGGAGGATCGGCGGCCAGTACAGTGCAAAAAGCAGCAACTTGAAAATGCCCCTAAGCCCTGCACCCTACTAACTTCACCTAGCAAGTCTCTGGGCAGGGAGATACTGATCTTCCCACTTGAGGCTTACTCTGCGCGTGCTTTTGGACCCGTAAACCCCCAACCTTTCACACTAAACCCTACATCAGAAGCCCTGGACTCTTCACCCCATGCCCTTCAGCCCGAACCTTGCACCCTAAACCTTACACGCTCAACCCAGAAGAGAATAAACCGTCACAACTTCTGTTTGGCAAGCGGCTTCTTTGCCCGCGGCTTAGGCAGAGGGCGCTACAGGTTTCGGGCTGCTCAGACATGACATATGATGCTGTTCCTTTTAGGGCTTACTTCGTCCAACTAACAGGGCTATGCAAGCTTCATATGAGCAAGAACCTAAACTCATTAAAGGGGGTTACGTAAAGGATCATAAAGTGACTACAATAGGGGTTACTAACAGGGATACTAGGAGTTTAGACTTTGGCTCATATAGGGATCAAGAGGTTATGGAGTTTTGTGTTGAGGTTTCATGGGCAGTCGTGAGTGGGTTATCACTTTGACAACGGTAGCTATAGACATTACATCAGCTATTCGGACTAAGAAGCGCATGCTTTCCGAAAATTGGGGTTCAATTTTGGGGTGTGCCCATGGAAAGGATCATGATTTTTTGGGTTCTATATTGGGATGCCCTTCATGTAAGGAAACTACCAGAAATCCCTGTGTAGCGCTTTCCAATACAATTTCAAAAAAAAACTTACTATTGGGCCGCGTGGGTTTTGATTTTCCGGGGAATTGCTGAGTCTGAAGATGGACAAGAGCCAGACGGACCACAGCGTAGCACCCTCTGCCACAGTTTCATGATACACTGCCCATGCTCGGGTGCCTCTCAGAATCAGAGTGGTACTTCAGAGGGTTTAGGGCCTAGAGTTTTAGGGTTTAGGTTAAAGAGTTTTAGGGTTTAGGGTAGAAGTTTCTTCAAGGAATGGCGGACATCTAGGTATTTCCGGACAATGGGGTTGCACTGGCCCTACGGATCCAAGTCCGTCGATGCTGCCTACTTTGGACCCTGAACCCTACACCCTAAACATCATTCCGAACGGTTTAGGGTTTAGGGTTTAGGGTTTGAATCATTCCTATAATAATATAACCCAGTTTCCATTCCATTTTCTATTTTGTCCCATTTGATTCTTAATTCTTGCATGGGTAATATCCTAAACCATAAAGCTCAAACACCCCTGGATAGCCTCACATATTCTGATCCTCCTCAAGAAAAGCACTCCGCAATATTGAACATCTCACTAGCCGCTTTCAGGCTGTTAAACCCTAAGCCCTAAACTCAGAAGCACGGGCTTAGGGGAAAGGGTAGTTTTCTGAAGTTGCGCGGCATGCTTGTTCCAAAGCCAGTTCTCTCCGCCTTGCATATTCGAACCCCCCTCCCCTCAATATCAGAGCATTCCCAAAATAGAATGTTAAACCGCATTGGGAATGTTAAGCATTTCAGGGGGGCATTTTTGTTGTATGATGGCCAGGGAACCAGTTGCAGGGATTTTCTTCGCGATCCTTAATTTCATGATGATAGCATTACATGCCCGAAGCCCTATTCTATTTTTCAGGCCACGTGAACCCTGATTCCTAAGCCGCATTCGGATGTTCGGGGTCGTTCGCGTTTCTTCTAAAGAGGTTCAAAGCCGGGCTCAACATCCAGAGAAACTCTTATCAAGGTTTTAGTGGTTTAGGGTTTGGGCTTGTAAGTCTTGGGTGTTTAAGTTTTCTGGTGTTTTCAGGGTTCCAGGAATTACGCTGATGTTGGCAAGCACCCGCATGGTGGTGTGTTTTCCTTGCAGGGTGGTGGCGGCCATCAATGTATATAGGAGTCCAACTTCTTTGCACAGGGTCATGTTATGTTAGAGTTGATCTCAAACCCAGGCCCTAAGCCCTAAACCAGGCTTTTCCATTGCAGCTGGAGGCTTAAGGTTGAGGACGTAACAGGTTTAGGGTTTAGGGTTGGGATATGGGGTTAACCCCCTCCTCCGCAGTAAAAGGCGGTTTAGAACTTAGTGCCCAGTGTTGTTGCAAAGCACCTCCAGAACCTTGCTGGTTTGTT